AACTCCTTTAATGTTGCTTCAGTCGCTACCCAATTTACCAGCGTAAGTCGCTCTCAAAACATAGAGCAAATGTACTGTTGGATTTTGGAACATATTGGACAAAATCAGCTCCAAAAAAACCAAGAGCAGCATCAATTTATAGCGTAAAATACCAAAAACTGCCCTAAACAAATAATCAAATTTTTAGGTTAAACTGGAGCGGATTTTCTTTTTATTATGACCTACTTTGTTGTTTTAGTCATACAAGTTTTTGCTTTGGGTTGGCTGGCAAACGAGATCAAAATTTAGGTGTGTATGCATCAATTATCAACAGCAACTTCCGAGGCTGGTTTATACATTTTTCACATTGGACTCCGCCACAAAACCCTCTTTCTTTGCGTACAGAGTTTAAAAACAGCGGATGTTCTTTCCGAACTCAACTGGTATAACTTGAACTTGCCCGATAAAAAATTGCCCTCAATAATTGTATCCAAAGAGACCCTACATTTTGGTACTGCGATCCGAACCATTTTGGATTTGCAAGACTCTACAACTTTGCTTTTTGAAATTTCATTCCGCTACATCAAATGAAGAACGTAAGATTGTTAAAACTTGCGTATTGCGTATTTTGTCTTTTAGCCATATGTATTCCAAGCATGGATCTTTCCATCGCTCTCTGGGCTATTCTAAGGCGTTGTGTCATTTTCTGCGTTAAGGTTACAGCGTCCAGCCCATATGTAGATACTGGTAAGATGCATGAGTCATAAACTTTTCTTTTCAGATTGATAGGGATGTTTTGGGTTTTGAGAATATAGATATCTCAATTTCCCGTATGCCGCCCAGCTCAGTCGGATTCTCCTCGTTATCTCAGACGTTTGATTTTCCATACCCAATTTAATTAAATGACCTAGGTATACGTATTCTTTTATGGTATCGAACGCGTGATGGCTTATTGTTATATGTAGGTCATCTTCACTCATGATCTTGGTCTTATTCAGGTTCATTTTTAGTCCCACCCGCATGAACTCTTCATTCAGAAATTCAGAATTGGAGTTCTTTCACCATGATCTCTATTTCACTGGGGTCGCTGCTTCTTAACACAATATCATCGGCAAAGCGTAGGTGGTTTAAGTATACTCCGTCCACCCTTACACCTCTTGCTTCCCAGTGCAACTTCTTAATACATCTTCCAGGGCCAATGTAAACAATTTGGGTGAGATAGTGTCGCCTTGACGAACGCCTCTGTTGATTGGGATTTGATCTGCATTGTTGCCTTTTCGTAGATGTATTTTATGAGGGTGGAGTATTTTGTATCTATTCTAGCTGTGTCCATTGCTGTTAGAAACGAATTATTAATGATCCAGAAATGCCTTGTAATAATCTATAAATGCCATATAAACAGAGACTAGCTAGTATTCAACACTTTTCTCGATTAGGTGGTGGATTGTTTGTAGGTGGTCTGTTGTGTTAAAACCTTTTCGCAAACCTGCCTGTTCAACTGGTTAGTAAAAATCAAATTTCCTTGACAGGCGGTTTGCAATAATCTTTGTCATAAGCTTGTAAAGGTGCGACAGGATTCTTACTGGTCGATGTTTTTCCATATTTGCGGTATCGCTCTTCTGGAAGAGCAAAATAACTGTAGCGTTTTGCCACGTTTCGCTGATCTTTCCTTGGTAAATGCATTTATTAAGAAGGATTCTAATTGCGTTTTCTAATACATCTCCCTCATTTTAATTTCGTCCATTTCCATTTTTTTCATAAGTTGTTATTCGATCTTCCCCAGGTGATTTCCTGTTCTTCATTTGTCTGAGCGCTAACAATACTTCTGCTCAAAATACAGGATGGTCTTTTAGTGCGTGAGAGTCCATTCCATTTCCGTTGGTGTTGAACTTTCGAAAAATAGTTTCATAAAAGTTGTTGACGCGCAAAGTGCGCACATTTTAAAAATTACTTTTTACTTAACAAAGTGCATTTTTTTAAATAGAACTACCCATTTTTCATTCGCTCATGGACTGCAGCTTGAAACGATGCAGCTTGCGACGTTGGCAAATTATCGCCATTTTAGTCAAATTTAAGCCTAATTATACCGGGGAAAGAATGTGGTATTTACATAATATAATGGAGCTCCAGTTCACCATACAGCTCAAATTCGCTCAAACTTAGAATTGTTTATCTTCTTCGTCCTCTGATGTACTGGTTTTTGAGTAACATTGTATTATTACTTACTTTTTGTTTAGTTTTAGAATAATATACATTACTCTAGATGATATTGAGTTCATTTTTGTGAGTAGGTGTTTTATGTTTTTGTGGATCATAATGACTAATCCTCCGTTCTGTTAATTTGTTTGGGTGTTGCTTTGGTATAACATATGTTTAGATTTCAAAAGAGTTTTTTTTTGCCAGGTAGTCTTGTTTCGCACAATCCCAGAATATCCCATTTAGTGTGTTGGTGTTCTTGTTCTAAGCCCTCAAGAAGGTCATCTACACGCATTGTTCTGATATTATAGATTGCGATTTTAATTCCTTTACCCCGTCGTTTTTTTCGGCTAAGTTTGTTTATTTTTTTTAGGTTTTTTGTATGGGTGTCGCGGTCGAATTTGCGCCTCCCCTAGAATTCTCGAGGCAGACTGATAAATCAGTGTGAGATTGTGAATTTAATTTACTCAGCCGGGGTACTTATAAGACTAAAAATTATCGTTTCAAAGTATTTCTGAAAAATCCTCGCGAAATATTTAAGGTTGTCCTTAGGTATCAAGCACAAAATAACATTCTAGCACACAGCAGTTTACATGCTATCACTGTAAGATTCTTCAACAATTTTTCGTTTTTTCAACTTATTTCACTTTCAAATAATAAACAATTTTCCGGTATTAATTGACACACTGATTTGCGCCTCATATGGAAGATTTCATGAATTTGGAGAATCCCATATTTTAATTTTTGAAGAGCACCCTTTAAAAGCAAACCACAAACGAAAGTCGAACAGGTGGTGCCATGCATGGTTGATTTTTTATCATAAACTTATATTGTGCTAATATGCTAATCTTCTGGAACATTACCAGTAATCTTTAAGAATGAGTAACAGCTGATTATTTAATAAAATATATTTACAGAAAACGTTCGGCGTAGGTGAATAAAGGTTCAATTATTACATCAGTTTAGTGTGGACTTAATTCTACCCAACTATCTGTGTGTCTCTATTAAGGACATATAAAGAACTTGTTCTAGTTCCGGCACAGATTGATTATCTGTATCATATGTGGCGGCTTCTACTTAACCAAACTGTCTTCAAACTATGCAAAATCGTATAGATATAAATGTGAACAACTATAAATAAACATAGTTCTTTTCCTTCTTTTCTGATAAAATTTTTATAGACAGCTAACGATTTAATAACGCTTATGTGCTACAACTCAAGTACAGTAAAATTAATATATAAAAGCTGCTGGCATAAAATGTGAGTAACTATTTGTATGACTGCGTCAGCATCATGTAAGAGTAAGCAGCTTTGATAACCTAAAAGTTTAGAATTTTTGAAGACTGAAATTTGTGAGTTTGCGCGCTTAGAGATATATCGGATCCAATTGTCATCGGTCCAAACGGTCCAATGGATATCACTGAAAGCTGCTGACACTGCATAAGCATCATACGGAACAGTTTTCTATTTTTTAAGTCCAGGTAATACCAGTTGAGATTGTAAAGAACATCAGCCCTAGTCCGACTCTAGAACAGTATTTTGGAGAATTTAATAAATGTTTAGTCACGCCAATTGAAATGTTTGTCGTACCAGCATTATGATGTCATTTGCAAACCATCCTAAAACAAACACTTGCGTAACCTGCATTAGTAAGAAGCCCGTGCAAAACACAAAATCTCCACGCTGAACCTGAAGTAAAAGAGATATTTATTAGAAATTGGAATATTTGTTATTAACATATTCACTGAATAAGTAAATTAATTTCAGCAATTTTCAATAAGAAAAGAAGAAAATACATAAATAAAGACGAAACAACGTACAAAAAAACTGCAGAAGAACATCAGAATAAAAACATAGCAAGCCAAGAAAATTTGGCTAAACGAAAGTTGCTTAGAAACTGAAGAACTGGAACAAAGAAACGATTCCTTCAATTTACATTAAAAAGCAAAAGAAGCAGCTGGAAAATGGAAACAAGCCTTTGCGTCTTTTGTCGAGGATAAACATGGGAGATGGAGAGACTACGTGCAAGAAATGTCTGAAGACGAGGATCGACATAACTCCGCCTACTGTGGGAACTGGATGAATCGAGAAGTCCAGTGAACACGGTCCCAAGCCTAGTTAAGGAAGGAAGGTTTTCGGGCGAGAATAGATATAAATACTACCCGACGTACAAAACATCATCTGTTCACAGACGGCATACAGAAGGCTGACCGCAGACACAGAGAAAGGCATGGGGAATGATAAAGAGAAGGTAGCGAAATAGTGAAACATACACAAGCACGACAAATTGATGAACTCCAATGTAAATGTTATTGAAGAAAGCGAAGAAGTTGAAGAACCTCCGAAAATATCTCAAATAATGACGATGGAACAGATAAAGAAGATTAAAAACAGAAAAATACCCGGACTACTTACAAGCTTAAAAAGCTACTAACAACTAAAAATGTCCCAAATAATTGGAAAAAATCACAAGCATCCCAATATTCAGAAAATACGACAAAAAAGAATAGAAAAGTATAGAGGCGTGACCCTACTAACCTCAGACATGAAATTATTCACAAATATCATAGAAACAACAACTCTATCTACAATATTCGTTAACCAAAAGATGTCAGAGAAAATTGACACCAACGAGAATCCGATAGTGAGACTCCATAATCCTACAACTTTTCAATCTAATAATGAATGTAATAATAAACCCGGTTAAAATCACTGAGAGAGGAT